CTTTTTCGATCATCTGCTTCACCTGCCTAATCAACATCGCTAAAACCTATCATGCTTCGATATAGTGTGGGATCTACAGAGGTTGCATCCAACTGTCGCGACAGTTTGTCGTTCGTTCCCATAGGAGTTCTTGCCATTTCCTTGTAGTCCACCTTGGGTTTACCTCTGGTTTGAATTCCTTCTTCTACCGGACCAATGACTTGATCGACTGGATGATTCTTCTTGACTCTTTTTGAGGGTTCCTTGTGAGTTTGGTCATCCAATTCGAGAGGGCTGACTTCAGCTTCATCTCCTGTTTCAGAATCAGCGTCACTTTCTTCTGAAATGGTAGAGGTTACATCAACTGTTGGAACTGTTGGTGTGACACTAGAGCTGTTATCTGATTCCTTTGTTGGTTCCTCTTCCAGTGGACCAGTAGATACAAGAATATAGCAGTTGTCAGATGATCGGGTTCCTTGAATAACACAATTCTCGTGTTTGTCTAAGACTCGACATGCGAATTTGTTGAATCTGACTTCAAGATCTTGATCACATAACTGGCTGATGCTTATCAGATTTGACGTGAGTCCTTCTACAAGTAGTACATTCTTCAGCTTTGGCAGATTCTCATGATTTAGCGATCCTTTCCCTAGCACTTCACCCTTTTTCCCGTTTCCAAAGGTAACAGCTCCACCGGTGATTTGTTGATAGTTTTTCAGAAACTCTTTAACACCTGTCATATGTCGTGAACATCCGCCGTCAAAATACCAATCATTAGCAGTACTTGCTTTTAAAGAAGTAATGGCAGATAAACATTTAAACGTGGACTTTTCAACCCAAATTTTTTGCTGAGGCCTATTGGAAATATCAATTTTATTTTTGGGTTTTTTAGAGGGTGAAGGAGCGTAACCAGCCCTAGCAGAGTACAGAGAACGAGCCACTAGTTTTTTCACAAGTTTTAAATATTTGAAACATCTAGGACGTATGTCACCTGGATTTTGACAGAAAAAACAGGTGGGAATAAACCTTTTCTTTGAATGGTGCTTCGTTGCTTCAACAGTTGCAACTGTTTGTGCGACAGAAGCTTGTTTAACAAAGTTGATTTTTCTGTTTTGATCTTCTTTTCGCTTTAGATCAACTTTGGGTAGCTGACTTCCTCCTATGCCTAGACGATTATAGTTTAGCTTATTGTTGTTTAAGATTTCATCTAGATTACCTCTACCCATGTTCAATTTAGCAATTGCTTCTTGAGTTTGAGTATGTTTAGCCTGCAAACCATTTTTCTCTTGATCACTAGATATGACCCTCTCCTCAAGAGTAGAGATTCTTACCTTTAGTGTCTTGTTTTCCTCTATAAGCACAAGCTTCTCCTTTTCCAGGAAGTTATTTACCTTAACAACGTCGAGCCATTTTTGGTACATTTTTTCATATACCTCTTTTACTTCGTCCAAGGTTGGTTCTTCATCATCACTGCTGCTGTTTGGATCCTCTGCAAAAGAAGAATTTTCGTTTAGAGTTTTGTCATAATCAGAACACACATTTTCATACCTGGATTCTGTTTTACAGTCTGTTGCAACAGTTGATTCTGAGCTGTCCAGAGGAACTTTGCTGCTGAATGCCACAAAGTTAGTGACTTGATCGTTGTTTCCTTGGTCGTCATCAGATTCTTCTTCATCGCTCCAAACAGTAGTAAGTGACATTCTTTTCTTTTTCTTCAGGGTGTTTGCGCATTCTGATTGAATGTGACCAAAGCCTTCGCATTCTCGGCATTGTATCCTTCTCGGTTTTGACTCATCTGAGTTATCTTGATTTGAGTTTCTCCTAGAGTTTTGAAAGTTCACGGGTTTCCCTGTGTTGGGAAGGTTTCCCCTTTTACCGATCTTTTTGAGAAATTTCCCAAAGTTTTTCGATAGTAGTGCCAAGGATTCTTCTACCGTCTGCTCATCTTCTTGAGTTGACGAATTTTGGGGTGTTGCATATGAAGTTTCTGCTTGAAAGGCTATCTTCTTTTCTCTAGGCTTTTCACGATGATTTTCACCATGATTGAGTTCTTGTGCTAGAAGTTTCCCCATGAGTTCGTCTAGTTTGAGCGTGTCAACATCTCTGACTTCTTCAATGGCAGCAATTCGGTAAGCAAATCTTTCAGGTAATGAGCGCATCGCTTTTCTCACTAGTTTGCTTTCCGAGTAAGGTTCACCGAGTGCGTATGATTCATTGGAGATATCACATAGTTTAGCATGGAAGTCACTGATCGTCTCATTCTCCTCCATCTTCAAACAGCATCTGTAACTTGGATGTCCTTACAGTTGACGTTCCTTCGTATGTGACTTGAAGGATTTCCCAAGCTCTTTTTGCAGATTCACATGACGCTATTAGTTTAAATTGATTATCATCAACACCACTAAATATTGCGTTTAGGGCCCTTGAGTTGTAGTTTGCGAGTAGTATCTCTCCATCACTCCAATCTGCTTCTGGTTTGAATACTTCCACTTTGTCTTCTCCTTTGATCATGGGAGGTGTCCAACCAGTTATGATAGCGCGCGATGCTCTCTCATCTATGGATTTGATAAACATCTTCATTTTTGATTTCCAGTATGAGTAGTTGGAGCCGATTAGGAGAGGTGGGCGAGTAGTTGAAGATCCTTCTCGTTGAGTATTCATATATGCACAAAATAAGAGTAACCAGTTCCCAAAATCTCACTAGATGTATTTAGTGACAGGCTCTTGATGCCAATTGTTAGAATTATTTCGTGCAAATTAATTATATATTTGTGTCCGATAAATTCCAGATTCAGTTTTAGATACTGTTCTACTGTTTTACGAAGAGTTGCAACAGTTAATGGAACAGTAATAAAAAGACACAAATTTTAAAGTGGTTCGGATACAATTGTACCCTACATCCACGGGGACCTGCAAATGAAATTTACTAATTTTTAGTTTTACGAATACAGTAATAGGACTTAATCGAAATACAAAGACTCCCTCTTTGTCGACGCCGTTCTTGTATACTACGTTGAATTATCAATCTTCACTTTGCACCACGTCCCTAGTTCCGCACGGTTGAAATTCCTTCAACGCTGAGTCCCTCTGTCGGCGGATCGACCTCCTCCCGAGATCTTCTAAGTTCTCCTCCTGAAGAACCGATCTTCTTTTCACGTGAAAGAAGCAAATCTTTGAATATACTTTTCTTCTCGAATAAGATCAGCTACCAGGAGCAACAACGTAAAGAGCAGAAAATAACTTTTCTCTCACACAAAAGGGACGGCCTCCAAACACGATGATGCTCCTATATTTATAATTCCTTAGTTGAATAGAAGAGCCCTACAAAAGATAAGAGCCCATTAGGTTAGTTGTAATCTCACGTAAGGAAAAGGAGTTGTGTAACAAAGGAAAGTCTTTCTCAAGAAAATTCCTTGTTAACAAAACACTTAGGCAATTAAATAAATTTATGACAAAATAAGAGTTTAAAGAACTAAGGAAACTTCCCTAGCTTTATACACGTTTTTCACACACGTGCTGAAAATCCAAAATTAGAATCCTCTCGGATTCTAACAGACAAGATCCAAATTAACTCGATCATACCTGCAGTAAAAAAAAGTTATTAGTTGTGCCCTTGCGATTAATTTTGTAGGTTATGCTGGAAATAAAAAAAAATGTAATCTTACTCCTCTAAACGGTACAAAATATGATTTGATTAACGTTAAATAATAGAAGTGGATGAAAAATCAAAGTTAGCACCATATATAAATCTAATATATGGAATCGAACATCTTACTAACTACCTAATAACTAGTTGGCCAATATTGAATCAATACAATCCGAATTAATGTGACCAATGTAATCGAACAAAAACCTAATTTTATTAGATAATAACATTTAATTGCCGTATTTTGTTTACGGTCCGAGTTACTTTCGGTCCAAATAAACTAACATTTAGTATTGCAAATTGTGTATGCAATTAATGGCAATCGAACATACACCTAAAAACAGATGCTTGATCCGGTGATTTTCTTTCCTTTTAACTATTTGTAGAAGAGAAGAATTCATGCAGATTATCAACCCCGAGGCACATGTGAATACATATACATATATAATATGCGTCTGAGGCGCTATCAGTTGTTTTAAAACCAATTAGTACGTTACATAGTAAAGATGCAAATCTTAATTTTACAGTGCATTCAGCACACATAAGCGTCCGCGACATTCAATTTTAGTCTGATCCACCCATACCCACTAGCAGAGCCAGTTTGGAGCAAGGGTGTGCACTTGCACACCCTTGGACATGATTGTTATCGATAAACCAAATGTCATTATCGGGTAGGTCAGAAGTGAATCATCTCATTCAAACGATCATGTAAATTAATTATATCTTAAAAAAAAAAAAACATTTAGTGTTATTTTACGTGTTTTCGTGTCAAAAAACTAATTTTGGGTGCCGCCCCCAAACCCTGCATAAGCTTACAGTGCTTCCTCTTTTATATATTTTTTCTAATTAAATTTCGAACACCCTTTAATAAATTTCTTATATTTGCCACAGGACCTCCAGTACTTGGACAATTGCTGCCGACTCCAAGTTATAACACACAAGATTATACGCCAACAGCTAGTGTAAACCTATAACAAAAACAAAGTCACTCCTCTAAAAGTAAAATGATCAAGAAAAGAAAAACAAAAAATAAGAGATAACTGCAATCCAAAAACATAAGAACTAAGATTTCTTAGAACATACATTCATCACATATACATATATGATATGTTAAGCGTATATAATTCTTGTCCGATTCCGTTATAACTTTCCTCCCATTTCTCTGTGTACATGTGAGGGTTTCACGTCTGTCAAAACTCTATTCAAATTGTAATTTTCCTGCATAAAAACCACATGAATGAAATACAACTCGGTAAGCCAAATACTTTAATCTTTCTCTTATTCACATCGATCATGATTAATTGATTGCATATATATATATATATATATATATATATATATATATATTAAGACACTTGTTTGTATATATATGGCCTTAAAAGTGGTTTATCTTGAGCAAGTGCGGCGGAGTGAGAAGGCCGTAACCAGTGCCGCGTTTACCGGACCATCGGGCCGGGCCGAACGAGCTGCACCCGAAACCAACAGTATCCAATTCTTGATCACCAGTATTACTATCCATTTCTGCCAATATCCTGCAGAAAAGATCGACTTCGCAAGGAATATGCAAAGGCCCTTCAACTTTGAGCCCGTATTCCGATTCGGCATCCTCAAGCAGCCTCCGGAATAGAGGGTGATTCGCACATTCAGCCTTGATCACAAACCGCTGGTTTTCGGGGCCCACGTAGACCGAGAAGCACCCGATCGGAGCCTTCTCTTTCGTCTTGTTTCTAGTGGTGGTGCTGCTGTGCCATGATCTGCTCTTGGTTAACCTGCTAATGCTATTGGATGATGATGAAGGTTTCTTTTGCCTATCGAACGATAGAAATCTCTCGAGTTTTTTCAGCACGGTACTTTGTACCTTCTTTTTCCGATCACCGTTTTCGACTTCCATGTGTATGTATATATATGTATATATATATATGTGTGTATAAACTAGACCTTTTGTTTTTCAAGGTTTTCAGCCTCTGTCATAAGCCAAATAAGACATGGATCTCATTCTTGGCTTTGTTGAATTGCTCATTAATAATCTGGATTTAACAGGAAATTAAGACAGCTTATAAGTTAACAGGTTCAGAAGAATTGGAACACAGTTATGTAATAAGAAATTAGAAAAAAAAAACATTAAACTTCACAAAACTGTTGATTTTTTAAGGCAATATCTAGGCTAGGCAGCTGATAATATTGTTATATATATATATATATATATATATATATATATATATATATATATATATATATATATATATATATATATATATATATATATATATATTGATTTAATCCTTGAGGCTTCGTCTTCCTTGAGCTGACTTCCGTACGTACTCCGGTGACGGCACCTGCAACGCCGGGAGGGGTTCCCGACGGGAGAGCTCCAACGATCAAGTCAGTGATCAAGGTAGAGAGAAATATGCAATGTAATAGTAAAAATGGTGTGTATTCTCGTGTGTGCGTGTGTTGATTCTCTTATTTATAGATGAGGAAAGCTTGGCCTTCAAGGCTTTCCTTTTTTAGGGTTTCTCTTTTCCCCCAAGTCATATATCTTGGGCCTGTATTGTCCTGGGCTCGCCCTACCACGTTTTGGTATTGGGCTGGCGAGTTATAAGGTACTCCCACGTGGTTCCGAGGTTCGCACCATACGGCGACCTCGCTCATAATACCGAGCTAAGTCGTCATGGGTTCTTCGTTGTGGGCCTATCATATTGGGCTTACCCTAATGGGCTTATGCTTATTTGTTAATTGTCAAACAAGCCCGTATCAACTACTCCCCCCTACTCCTTATTTATAAAACAAGTCGGCTTTTCTTTACCTCGTTTTATAAGTACGGAGTATGAGGCATCAGTTCGCACTTCGATTTAGATTTACGTCGGCGTACGCAGCCCCTCTTCCTTTCCCTTTCATTAATTGCTCTGACACCCCGCGTGGTCGGTTCAAGTTCCCTAGGTCATCATGAGAAGATTTCCATCAACGCTTTTCGCGCTAGGTTCGAGGTAATCTGCATTAAATCCTGTCCGTTCGGGTGGGCGGTTATGATTGGTTTTTTCTCTTTCCTAGGTCATTACTAGGGGAGTCCAATCGACACTTCTTGCGCCGAATTCGAGGCGACCTACTTTGAATCTCACCCGTTCGAATAGACGGTTACGATCAAAGTTTCCATTTTTCCTTCTCCTATAAGTATCTGACCTCTACGAATTTCCAGAATTTTTTTCCTCTTCTTCACCTCTGCGCTCTCCCCATCTTTATTTACCTCCGGCGACTTTGCTTTTCCGAGAACCAAGTTCTTTCCCTCCCGTGCTTGTTTTCTCCTTCGACAAAGGTACTCCCCTCTTCACCTTACTTTTTACTATTCTTAGCCTATGTCTTCCAATTCCCCCGACCCTTTTGGTCAAAGAATGCCTTCCAGGGAGGGAGATGAACACCCTACCCTTACTCTCTCTTCTTCATCGGAGGAAGGGCCCTATTTTTCCCCTTCGGGTAAATTACTGAAAAAACCGAAGAGAAAAAGAAGAGATGACGTTTTGTCTTCCACGAGGAGCGGCTCTCCTTCATTGTCTGAGGGACGCGATTCAGACGACCAGTGGGGACCCAGTACTTTAAGCGAGGTAGACTTAGACAATTTAGTTCGCGATATAGGCCTTCCTACTGACGTAGAACTATTACTGCCCTCGCGAGATCAGCGTCCCTTAAACCCACCTCCGGGTTTCAGCACCTGGTTCTCAGAACAATTTTATTTCGGTCTTACTTTCCCCATCTCACCTTGGTTTTCTGAGATTGCGCAGTTGTGCAATGTGTCCCTCAATCAATTTCATCCTCATGCCATAGTCGTCATGACCGGGTTTCGCATGCTTTGCGCCTGGTCGGGTGTGATCCCCACTCCAGCTCGATTTCGGAGTGTGATGGTCTTGAAAAATTCCAGTCCTTTCCATATTTCTATCTCGGCCCGCCCGGGTTTCAAAATATTAATGCCACCCAACAAAACTGATGGGTGGCAGGGTCATTACTTCTTCGCGAAAAACCCCGCTGATACCCCTTACCTGTGTCCTTGGTTCGCCACCTTACCCGACAAACGGAGGGGGAAACCCCTAGCGATAGACGAGTGGCTTTTGAAAATGATTGTACACTTTCAGCCGAGCTATGGTATGCCCGAGAGTCTTACGAGCTTTCCACCGATACTCCGTCATTTTTACTTCCATGACAACGGCACTCATCCCTTAACCCAAGAGGATTTAGGTGGGTTTTAATACGACATCATTTTCTGTGTTAGTCCGGCATTTATTTCGAGTTGTTGTTTTCTGTTGGATTGTTTTTATACTACTTTACGAGGTATTGCCCATTTGCTCATCGTAGTTTCTTTGCCTTACAAGCAGACTTAAGGATGAAGAGGATGTTCAGAGGTGATAAGCCAGCAACTCGCCTATCCGAACCAGAGCCGGGGTTCCAGACATCCGAGCTTCAGCGCCCTCTTGTCGCTGAATCTGAGAAGCGGCCCGTGGAGGAGGGGGCTCTGAGACCGAGACCTTCCAAGAAGAATGCGGGGGCTTCTCGTCCCCGAGGTGGTTCACTTATTGAGGACCCGGAGCTTCCTCGCCAATCTTCCGCTATAGTGACAGTTTCCTCTCCGCCACCTTCCTCAACCGAAGAAGTGGTGGAAAAAGAGCCTACTTCAAAGAAGAGAAAAACGGACCTGGCCCTTGGGCTGATCGGGTCAACGACTGGGCAGACTGGATCGGCCCCGGGGCAAATTGGGTCGTCTCTGCCTCCTAACTTCGCCCTCCTTCTCTGTCAAAACGCAGAGAACGCTATCGCTGCTTGCCGGGCTATGGCGCTACCTCGCGACGTTGCCCACTTTGGGCAAATGAGCAAGGGTGATCGGCTTGAGTTGCTTCTTCATAACATAACCCAGGTTAGTTTCAGCTCGCATACATGAGTTAATTTTTACGCTCTTAACCAATCTATTTTACTCAAGTCTCTTATATGTGCAGCAATTCGCCATTGCCTTTTCGGGTCCTCTGGGATGGGACGACGTTTCTCGTGAGGCGTACGATAACCAGAGGAAGGAGGTTATCCAGCTCCGGAAAGAGGTCCGGGCTTTAAAGGAGAGTCTATCGGTGGCTGAGTCGGCAAAAGAGGGGTTATTTGCCGAAGTAAAGAAGCTGAAGGAGAAAGAGGAAACTTCACAGGCGGAGAAAAATTCCCTAGCATCTCACAATGCTACTTTGGAGGAAAAAGCGAAGCAACTTTCGAACGAGCTCTTTGCCGCTGGGGTGCAGGCGTCTGCCAATTTCACCGAAGGAGTGAAAGAAGGGCACAGATTGTTCCCGGGGTCGTCTGAAGGTCTCCGGTTTATGGAGGCGTTTGTCAGTCGCTTCTTCGATCGGCTGTGGCGCTCGACGACGTTCACCCGGCAAGCCTCCGGTTTAGCTCGCTTCTTTTTCTCGGAGGCGGTGAAAGCCGTGCGGAAGCGACTGAGCGGTGCTGGCATCGAGTTCCCGCTAGTCGAAAATGAGCTTGCCGAAGACTTACCGGATGACGTGATTCCGGGTTTTGAAGGGGACGTGAACGAAGACCCTGACTTAGAGTGGTGGAGGCAAGTACATCGGGAGCTTGTCGAAGACTTCTCTCGCCAAGGGAGCTCTTCGGTGATCATTACTGACTTAGTTGGGGACGTTGAAACTATTGATGCGATGGCAGGCCTCAACAAAGCGCCGTCGGGCTTCATCTCGTCTCCTCCTCCGTCTGCCGGGAATCAAGGCGAAGCCGGGGTGGAATCTCCCAAAAACACTTAATCGTTTTTCATTTGTCCGTGTACTTGAATTTTTGTATTTTATTCCTTGTACCATGTACTTGCATTTTCCTTCTATATTTTGAACAATTTACTTCGTTTTGTCAATGTTTTCAATGTATTAAAGTGCTTTACTTGTTTCCATCTCGTTTATCTCGTGCGCCAGGGCTGCTTTTACTTTAGTGCAGTATGTTCGAGAATGATTAGTAATTTTGGCAGAGTATTTTCCGAACTTGAGTTAACCCGATCTCAGCAAACTGTTTTCGTTTTCAATAGTTTACTTTGTGTTTTGAGCTTAGTCTTCGGCTGTTATTTCCTTTGACAAAACATGCGATTTAACGCAACAATGAAACACGCGATTTAACGCAACAATGAAACACGCGAGTTAACGCCACAATAAAACATGCGATTTAGCTACTTAGTGAAACACACGAGCTAACGTCACAATGAAACACGCAAGTTAATGCAACAATGAAACACGCGATTTAACGCAACAATGAAACACGCGAGTTAACGCCCCAATGAAACACGCGATTTAACGCCACAATGAAACACGCGATTTAACGCAACAATGAAACACGCGAGTTAACGCCACAATGAAACACGCGAGTTAACGCCACAATGAAACACGCGATTTAACGCCACAATGAAACACGCGAGTTAACGCCACGGTAAAACACGCGATTTAACGCCACAATGAAACACGCGAGTTAACGCCACAATGAAACACGCGAGTTAACGCCACAATGAAACACGCGATTTAACGCCACAATGAAACACGCGAGTTAACGCCACGGTAAAACACGCGATTTAACGCCACAATGAAACACGCGAGTTAACGCCACAATGAAACACGCGAGTTAACGCCACAATGAAACACGCGAGTTAACGCCACAATGAAACACGCGAGTTAACGCCACAATGAAACACGCGAGTTAACGCCACAATGAAACACGCGATTTAACGCCACAATGAAACACGCGAGTTAACGCCACGGTAAAACACGCGATTTAACGCCACAATGAAACACGCGAGTTAACGCCACAATGAAACACGCGATTTAACGCCACGATGAAACACGCGAGTTAACGCCACGGTAAAACACGCAATTTAACGCCACAATGAAACACGCGATTTAACGCCACGATGAAACACGCGAGTTAACGCCACAATGGAACACGCGATTTAACGCCACAATGAAACACGCGAGTTAACGCCACAATAAAACACGCGAGTTAACGCCACAATGAAAACTTAAATAAATAACACAAGGATTTTTTAACGTGGAAACCCTCCAAATAAGGAGAGAAAAAACCACGGGGCCTAGCCCAGATCAGAAAATGGATGTTTATTAATGGTTGTTTTGCCTGTACAAGGTGTATCTCGATTTCGCTGACGTAATTGCCTCGATCTCCTTTCTCTCTTTTTTTTTTTTTTTTTTTTTTTTTTTTTTTTTTTTTTTCCGCGAAGAAGCGTTTCAAATGAATGATATTCCATGCTCGTGGCAATGGTTTTCCTTCTACGTCCGCCAGCTCATATCCTCCACCAGCCAAACATTTTGTGACCATGTATGGTCCTTCCCAATTGGCCTCTAACTTTCCTGTGTGCTTTAGTGCGTCAGCTCGTCGCAGGACGAGATCACCGATCTGGAATGAACGAGACCGTACCCCTTGATCGTATCGAGCCTTGATCAGGTTCTTACTTCGTTCCATGTGCAGATACGCCGCTTCTCGTAGGTCAAAAACCTCATCCAGCTGTGTCCTCAGGGCATCATCGTTTGTCCTTTCATCAAATGTGGCGATGCGGAGTGTGTCCATTGCCACCTCGACCGGGATAACAGCATCGGTCCCGTAGGTTAACCGAAATGGCGTCTCGCCAGTAGCTGCTTTGACTGTTGTCCGGTAAGACCAAAGGACTGAGGGCAGTTCGTCTACCCAACTTCCCCCTAACTCGTCCAGTCTCTTCTTCTAACCGTTGACAATGGTCCGGTTTGTGGATTCCACTTGACCATTAGCCTGGGGGTGCGCTACCGCCACGAATTTCTGTGTTATCTTCATTTCTTCGCACCACGCACGAATTTTCTTGCCGTTGAACTGAGTGCCATTGTCCGATACGATGCTTCTAGGCAGACCAAACCGACAACAGATATTCTTCCAGACGAAGTGCATGACCTCGTCCTCTGATATTTTTGATAAGGCCTCAGCTTCGACCCATTTAGTGAAGTAGTCTACCGCAACAATGATGAACTTTTTCCGGCCAGTGGTTTGAGGGAATGGTCCCACTAGGTCAATCCCCCATTGAGCAAAGGGACATGGAGCACTCATGATGATCATCTCTTCCCCCGGTTTATGGATAAGTGGGGCATATTTTTGGCATTGTGCGCAGTGTTGAACGTATCGGTGTGTGTCTTCTTTCATACCGGGCCAATAATATCCTGCCCGATATAACTTCTGTATGAGGGCCCGAGCTCCTCCGTGCTCACCGCAACCACCTCGGTGTGCTTCGTCAAGGACGTGTTTAGCCTCCTGCTTTCCTAAACATCTCGCATCGATTGTAGCGAAATTCCTTTTATATAACACCTCGTGCCGCACGTAAAAGTGTCTCGCTTTATATGCCAATCGATTTTGTTCCCTTTTTGTGCCAGTTCGCTCTCCTCTGAAATACTTGAACAGAGGTGTTCTCCAGTCAGGCTCTTCATCGATCAACATGACTCCCGATATCGGGGTAGGGGCAATGAGAATAGTGATTTTTCTTTCAACGCAGTCAGCGACTGACGACCCGACTTTAGCGAGGAAGTCAGCTCGCTGGTTGTCGTTTCTCGGAATTTGATGCATGGTACAGACCTCAAAAGTTTCTTGTACAGCTCGGGCTTTATTTACATAACTCTTCATTCTTTCGTTTTTTATTTCGTAGTCCCCTTCGAGTTGGTGTATTACCAATTGAGAGTCGGAGTATATTCGCACCACTCGCGCTCCGAGCTCTTGAGCGATCTCCATACCTCGGATAAAGGCTTCATATTCTGCTTCATTATTGGAGACCCGAGGTAACCTAACGGCAAACTCGACTTCTGTTCCAGTGGGATCAATAACTATTATCCCTGCCCCCGCTCCCGAGGTTGTAGATGAACCATCCACGTAAATTTTCCACTCTTTTTCGATGGGTATTCGAGTAGTCTCCCGGATGAAATCTACCAGCGCCTGCCCTTTGACCGAGGTGCCGGGTTTTATACTGGATCTCGTACTGTCCCAATTCGATGGCCCATTTAACAATTCGTCCTGACGCAGTAGGTTGACCTAGGGTTTGCCGAAGTGGTAAACTTGTACGGATTATCATGGTATGCGACAGGAAGTAAGGCCGGAGTCGTCGCGTGGTAAGGACCAGAGCATACGCTATTTTTTCGACTTCAGAATATCTGCTTTCCGACGTAGTCAGGATTTTACTAGTATAGTAGATCGGCTTTTGCTGGTTATCCACCTCTTTGAATAAGACCGAGCTAATTGATTCGTCGCCTACCGATAGGTATACGAACAGAGTTTCGCCCTTTTCAGGAGTGCTAAGGATCGGCAGACAAATGAGGGATCGTTTTAATGCATCGAACGCGAGCTGGCACTCGTTATTCCATTCGAATTGAGCTGTTTTCCTCAATATTTTAAAGAAAGGTAGACTCTTATCAGCCATCCTTGATATAAACCGAGCTAGGGCTACCACCTTTCCTGCTAAGGATTGAACTTCTTTGATGGAGCGAGGGGGTGTCATCTGGAGCACGGCCTCAACCTTATCCTGGTTCACCTTAATGCCTTCTCGATTAACGACATATCCCAGAAACTTTCCTGCTTGTACTGCGAATGCACATTTCGCGGGGTTCAATTTCATTCCATATAGACGAAGGGTGGCAAAGGTCTCTGCTAGATCTGCGAGGTGCGTATAACGCCTTTTGCTCTTAACCAGCATGTCATCAACGTAGACTTCGATGTTGCGTCCGAGTTGAGCCCGAAACATTCTATCCATCAATCGCTGATACGTGGCCCCCGCATTTTTCAAACCGAAAGGCATTACCACGTAGCAGTAAGTACCCGTGGCCGTAACAAAACTTACTGCCGGCTGATCCTTTTCGTCCAGCGGAATCTGGTGGTATCCTTGCGAAGCATCCATCATGCTAAGTAACTCGCACCCGGCAGTGGCATCTACAAGTTGATCTATGCGAGGTAAGGGATAATCGTCCTTTGGGCAAGCCTTGTTTAAGTCCCTGAAGTCGATGCACATTCGCCACTGGCCGTTGGCTTTTTGCACTAAAACTGCGTTGGACAACCATGTGGGGAATTGGATTTCCCTGATATGTCCGATGTCCAGGAGTCGCTGGACCTCCTTGTGTCTGATTTCGTCTTTTTCGGTACCGAAGTGCCGTCTTTTTTGTTTGACGGGTCTACACTCGGGTCGCAAATTGAGCCTGTGCACCACAGTACGAGGTGAGATACCGGTTAGGTCACTTGGTTGCCATGCGAAGATGTCTTCATTAGATCGTAGTAACGCTATCAGTTCGTCTCGGAGAGGTGGTTCTAAATCCTTGCTTATCCGGGTTTGTTTCATCATACCGGGGACGAGGTCGATCATCATCAATTCGTCCATAGGTTGTACATGATTAATCTTATCTTCGGGGTCAACTCGGGGGCGTTTCTCGTCCCCCAAATCTTCTCTGGTGAGGGTGTCACGTCGCCCCTTCTCGGCTAACTTAACCATCTCCACATAACATGATCTCGACTGGGTTTGATCTCCTCTGACCTCCCCTACCATTCCGTCGACTGGAAACTTGAGCTTCTGATGAATAGTTGAAGGGACCGCCCGAAAGGTATGCAACATTGGTCGTCCTATCACGATGTTATACGAAGTCGGCGATCCTTCCACGATGACAAAATTAACAGCTTGCGTGCGGGTCCGAGGTGGCGTCCCTATAGTGACAGGGATTTTAACTTGGCCAATCGGTGTCAGGGATCCCCCTGTGAATCCGAATATCGGAGTGGTGACGGGGAAGACTGGGAGGTCCAGTTCCATTTGCAGGAAGCACTCATAGGATATAACATCGACTGAACTTCCTGGATCAACGAAGGCGCGAGCAACATCATACCCGCCAACGTTAATTGTGATGAGGAGAGGGTCGCAATGGAAATCATCTAGATCTCCTTCATCTTCAGGACCAAATGATATGGTGGGGTATTGACGACTCTTCTGTGTAGAGATCTGGCAGACTTCGCGTTGGTTCTTAAGGCTACCGAGGTGGCGTCTCCTAGCCCGGTGGGTATCTCCTCCCGTAGGGCCCCCTGAAATCATTTGAATGTATCCCCTTTTTGGCATCGGTGGTGGAGGTGGTACGCGTGCTGGGTTCCCGAACTGAGCCTCACGCTTTTGCCCACGAGGTGGGTCTATCTTCACAAATTCTCCGATCTTATTGTCTCTGATGAGACGTTCCACTTCGTCTTTTAAATGTGCACAATCGTCGGTCGTATGTCCATACTCATTATGGAAACGACAAAAGGTTCCCAATGTGGGATCTCGCCGGGGGGCTCCGCGAGCGGTTCGAGGCCACCGGAGATCAGCTCTCTTCTCGATTGAGTACAGTACCTGGGATAGAGGAGCTGTAAGGGGCTGGTATGATTGAAACCGAGATCCCTTAGCATCCGGGACGATACTCCGACTGGGAATATTAGCATCCCTACGAGGTAACATGGACTCCTTGCCTCTCTTTACTTCGCTGACCCGCACATTTGTGGTTTGGTGAGATTCTTCCACCTTCTGCTGGCGGGCCTCTTCTAAGTTAATAAACCTAGATGCCCTTTCTAACAGATTGTCGAAATCAGGTGATGGCTCCAGCGCTAGAGCTCGGAAAAACTCGTCATCTCTTAACCCTTGTGAAAGGGCCGCCATGAGCACCTCGTCACTGGTAGTCGGGACTTCTAGGGTGGCTGAGGTAAACCGTTTGATGTAACTCCTGAGGCTTTCCTTCTCCTTCTGGCGAATGCTGAACAATGACAGGGAGGTTTTTTTGCACTTCTTTGAACTAGCGAACTGATTCATGAAGGCCTTAGCAAACTGTCCAAAAGAATGTATACTCCCTGGTAACAACAAACCGAACCAGGCCTGGGCTGGCCCAGCTAAGGTGGTGACGAAGGCGCGACACTTCACCCCCTCCGTGAGCTGGTGGAGCGATGCTGTGTTATTGAACCGACTCAAGTGCTCGGCTGGATCTGACGTGCCGTTATACTCGAACAGGATTGGTCGGTAATTAGCCGGTATGGGGTCGTCATGGAGATGCTTGGCGAAAGGGCCAGATCCCGCGAGATCTCGCGTTGGCCCACTTCGCAGGGCCTTCAGCTCATCTATATCACGCCTTAAGCTGTCGACTTCCGTTCTAACGCCATGACTGTTGCCTCCTCGATTCTCCGAATAGCTATCGCACTCATCCTCAGCTCGCCCTTCATTCTGGGAGCGTCTGAGATCTCTCTTGGGCCGGTTGTCTTGAGGTAAATTTTGCGTGTAGTTCCGGATAGCCGTAGTGATCATGGCCTCTACTTCGCCCCGGGTGTACGTACGCTCATCGGGGGATGGAGCCGGCGCTGTAGCCGGTCTCTTTGAAGCAGCTCCACCGCTTTGAAATTCGAAAGAAGGGCTTCCTGAAAAGAGGGGAATCCGTCTGTCTTTCTCGGGCGTGAGCAAGCTGCATCCTGACTTCTCCCTCAAGTCAGACGGCGGATCTACGCCAGGTGTGTCGTGAACTGCTGCATCCAGCTCCTTTTGTAGGTTTCGGGTGATCGTTCCTTCTTCTTCCATTTTTTCTCTACGTTCTTAGCTCAGATCTGGATTTCCGGGGGCAGATCTGATGTTTTTCCCGGAAATTGTGCTCCAAACTTATAAGGATTATTCCCACAGACGGCGCCACTTGATTTAATCCTTGAGGCTTCGTCTTCCTTGAGCTGACTTCCGTACGTACTCCGGTGACGGCACCTGCAACGCCGGGAGGGGTTCCCGACGGGAGAGCTCCAACGATCAAGTCAGTGATCAAGGTAGAGAGAAATATGCAATGTAATAGTAAAAATGGTGTGTATTCTCGTGTGTGCGTGTGTTGATTCTCTTATTTATAGATGAGGAAAGCTTGGCCTTCAAGGCTTTCCTTTTTTAGGGTTTCTCTTTTCCCCCAAGTCATATATCTTGGGCCTGTATTGTCCTGGGCTCGCCCTACCACGTTTTGGTATTGGGCTGGCGAGTTAAGGTACTCCCACGTGGTTCCGAGGTTCGCACCATACGGCGACCTCGCTCATAATACCGAGCTAAGTCGTCATGGGTTCTTCGTTGTGGGCCTATCATATTGGGCTTACCCTAATGGGCTTATGCTTATTTGTTAATTGTCAAACAAACCCGTATCATATATATATATATATATATATATATATATATATATATATATATATATATATATATATATATATATATATATATATATATATATATATATATATATATATATATAAATATATACATATATATATATGTGTGTATATATATATATATAT